AAGGACCTCTCCAAAGTACTGAAGAGGAATGGTGTCTCTCTGGAGACTAAGGTGCGTCTGATACAGGCCATGGTCTTTGCAATCACTTGTTATGCGTCAGGGAGTGGGATAATGACTAAGGAGGATAGAAGAAGAATTGATGCCTTTGAGCTGTGGTGGTGAAGAGTATTGAAAATACATGGACTGCTAGGAAAACAAACAGATTCATCCTGAAAAGGGTTAAACCAGGTGGCCCCTATGAGGCAAGGATTCTGAGGCTCCATCTAACATAATTTGCACATGTTTTAAGGAGAGACCAATCCTTGGAGAGGGACATCATTCTTGGGAAGGTGGAGGGACAACGCAGGATAGGAAGACCCTCTATGGGGTGGATTGATTCAGTGACTGGGGTAATCGGGATGGGTGTGTCGGAGATGGTACGATTGACATAGGACAGAGCAGAGTTTAGGGCTGTTGCACATACGGTTGCTATGAGTCACAAGCAACTCGATGTCACGTAACAACAACAACAACAACAATGCTACTATTTTACATGCAAGAGCATTAAAAATTTTGCACATGGGAAACAGACAGTGGAGAGAAATGTTTCTCTCCAATGATGACTAGATAAAGCAGCTGCAGACTGCATAGAATGTGAACTCTAGATCACATACCTCCTCAAGAGGCTAGATATTTCATTCATGATATCTTTGGGATTATTACATAGTATCTGGATTCAAGGACAAACTACAATTCAACTCACTGCCTTCCAGTTTGAACCAACTCATAGTGTGATCCAGTTTCTGAAGCTAAAAATTTCACGGAAAAATAATTGCCTATCTTTCTCCTCTGGTACCACTGGTAGAATATGAATCACTGGAGAGATTTGGCCTTTAGGCTAGCAACACAATTTCCTATGGACTATGTTGGAACTTCTATCTGATGAGATCAGGCATGTTCAGGGTGGTATGGCTGTGCACTAGAACTGCTATTTGCTCATATAACGACATGCGAAGATGTTGGTGCTGCCATCTAGGAAGAAAGAACCTGATAGTGGATTCAAGTGTTTCATATCTGTAACGTTTTCTTCACTTAGTTCAATCCCATATGTAAGACATGTTCATCATCCTATGGAGTATATGTAGCTGAGAAGGACATTTTC